GAAGGCTCTTGGATTTTAAGAAGGGTAAACTAATTGTGGCAGGAGACTTTAATTGTTGCATGGACCCTCAGATTGACAAGACGTTGCGTGTGCAGAGACATAGAAGCAGAGATTTGGAAGCTATGCAAAGTATGCTACATCAGTGTCAGCTGGTAGATGTATGGAAAATTATACACCCTAGGGAAAGGGATTATACATTCTACTCTCCTGCACACGCAGCGTATTCGAGATTAATTACATATTGATATTATTATTATTATACAGTATTTATATAGCGCCAACAGTTTGCTCAGCGCTGTACATTACAATGGGAGACAGTACACGAGACAGTACAGTAACAATACAGTGCAATACACGAGGGTTCGAGGGCCCTGCTCCTTGGAGCTTACAATCTAGGAGGGAGGGGATAGTGGTACAGGAGGAAATAGCTGTGGGGGATGGAGTGGTAGGAAGAATGGAGGAGATCGGCAATTAGGTGAGGGAGGGGTAGGCTTCCCTGAAGAGATGGGTTTTCAGGGTGCGCCTAAAGGTGAGGAGGGTAGATGACAGTCTGATGGATTGGGGGTAGTGAGTTCCAGAGGATGGAGGAAGCTCTGGAGAAGTCCTGGAGACGGGCATGGGAGGAGGAGACCAGGGAACTAGAGAGTAGGAGGTCTTGCGAGGAGCGGAGAGTACGTTTTGGGTGGTATATGGATATCAGGTCGGTGATGTAGTTTGGGGCAGTGTTATGAACAGCTTTGTACGTCATTGTTAACAATTTGAATGTTATGCGTTGGGCAATCGGAAGCCAGTGGAGGGAGTGGCAGAGGGGGGTGGCAGATACGAAGCGGTTAGTAAGGTGGATGAGTCTGGCTGCAGAATTTGGATAGACTGAAGTGGGGATAGCCCTTGATGAGGTAAGCCAGTGAGGAGGGAGTTACAGTAGTCAAGTCGAGATATAATAAGGGAGTGAATGAGTTGCTTAGTAGTTTCTGGGGTTAGGAACGGACGTATTTTGGAGATGTTACGGAGGTGGAGTCTACATCAATTTGTCAGCGATTGGACCTGGGGCTGGAAAGACCAATTGGAGTCTAGGATGACACCTAGTACTCTGGCTTGCGGGGTGGGACTGATGGCGTTGTTGGTCATGATGGAGAAGTCAGGGGGGGAGGCGCGGGCAGTGGGGAAACTTGGAGCTCAGTTTTGGAAAGGTTTAATTTGAGGAAATGAAGTGACATCCAATCTGATATGTCGTTAAGTAGGCTAGTGATTCGGGTGGAGACTGAAGGGGTGAGGCGAGGGGTAGAGAGATAGATTTGCGTATCGTCAGCATAGAGATGGTAGTTGAAGCCGTGGGAGTGTATCAGTTGGCCAAGGGAGGAGGTGTAGATGGAGAAGAGAAGGGGCCCGAGTACAGAACCTTGAGGGACCCCAACAGAGAAGGGTAGTGAGGGGGAGGTGTCAGCGTTATAGGTAACACTGAAGGAGCACTGCGATAGATAGGAAGAAAGCCAGGAGAGAGCGTAGTCTCTGAGGCCAAGAGAGTGTAGTTTTTTGAGGAGGGGGTGGTCGACCGTGTCAGAAGCCGCGGAGAGGTCGAGGAGTAGGAGCACTGAGTAGTGGCCATTAGCTTTGGCGGTTAGCAGGTCGTTGGTGAGTTTGAGTAGGGCTTTTTCGGTGGAGTGTAGATATTGTACATATTGATAGACACAGACTCTTGGGGGTTTATTTACTAAAGCTGGAGAGTCCAAAATCAGACTCCCTTCTGCATAGAAACCAATCAGCTTCTAACCTCAGCTTGTTCAATGAAGCTTTGGCAATGAAACCTGGAAGCTGATTGGTTTCTATGCAGAAGGGAGTCAGATTTTGGACTCTCCAGCTTTAGTAAATAAACCCCATGGAGTCACTGGTTAAAGTAAATATAGAAGTTACAACAATATTGGACAATGTACCTGTCACAATGAAGTTAGTATGGGGAAGAGATCAAGATATGTTAAATAGGTGGAAACTAAATGAGTCACTCCTGCAGGATCAGGAGATGGAACTGAGAGTAAAGAAAGAAATAGAACAAAACTTTGAAATAAATGAGACTGAAGGAGTCTCAATTGCTACGGTGTGGAAAGCACATAAGGTATATATCAGGGGAATTTTGATAGCAGTGGGAGCAGAAAAAAAGAAAGAATGGCAAAAGAAAATAAATACGTTAATAAGGGAATTATATGCTCTAGAACATCTACATAAAAAGAGAATAATAAAAGACATACAACAGAAAGTGATCAAAAAAGGCAAGAACTAAGTAGCTTAATGGAGCAAGAATCGGGGAGAATATTTAACAAGATGGCAAGAGAAAGATATCAGTGGGGGAATAGACCCGGTAAATATTTAATGAGAGCACTGAGAAATAAGAAATCAAGGAATTATAGAGAGAAAATTTAAAACATTAATAATGTATTCAACCACTGATATTTTGAATGTATTAAAAAAAATACTATAGGAAGTTGTATGAAGTGAACCCGAAAAAGTCAAAAGGAGGAGAAGAAGAAAGAATTAGAAAAAGACAGACATATTTAAAAGAAGCGGGATTACTGAGACTGGGAGAAGAACACTTGGCTCTTCTAGAGAAACCATGAACGCAGGAGAAAATCCAGGTGGCACTGAAGGGAACAGCCTGAGGGAGGAGCCCTGGGCCAGATGGGTATACTGTGAGATATTATAAAACGTTTAAAGAACAATTAGTCCCTAAACTGTGTACATGAATGCACTAGGAGAGAGAATGGAAATGAGGGAGGAATCATTGCAAGCACATATTACAATCATACAGAAGGAGGGGAAAGATGGGACCCAATGTGCTAGTTACAGGCCTATCTCACTGTTAAATATGGATACAAAATTATACACAAAAGTCCTGGCTACTAGGCTGAAAGCCTTAATGCCGGAGTGGATTCACTTAGATCAAGTGGGATTTGTTCCTGGGAGGGAGGGAGGGAGGGAAGAGATAATGGGCTAAGATAAATATTCCTCATAGAAAAAAGTAAGAGGGAAAAACTTCCCGTGTTGATCATGTCAGTTGATGCTGAAAAGGCTTTCGATAGGGTAGACTGGGGCTTCATGATGGATACATTGAAGGTTCTGGGAATGGGTCCGAAAATGAGAGAGTGGATTGGAAAGCTTATAGTCATCCATCAGCCGCAGTAAATGTCAATGGTTCGTTATCAGAGTATTTTAAAATGTACAATGGGACAATACAGGGGTGTCCGGTCTCACCCCTGTTGTTTGTTATATCTTTAAAGCCTCTTTTGGCAATAGTACTACACAGTCTAGATGTAAAAGGGATACAGAAAGGAGAGAGAGAACATAAAGTGGCAGCATATGCTGATGATATGCTATTTTATGTTGTAAACCCTAGGCTGACACTACCCAATCTAATGAGATTAATGAAACATTATGGAGATTTATCAAATTTAAATATTAAGCCATCTATATCAGAGATTCTTAACGTCAATGTTCCGACAACTAAAAAAAGGCTCTAGAGAGAGAATTCCCCTTTACATGGAAAGAAAGAGAATTAAAATACCTGGGAATAACATTAATCTCGTCACCCAAGAATTTATATAAAATAAACTACATCCATTAATAAATTATATAAAGGATGAATTGAGGAGAATTGAGGTTGGATCACGCTCCTGGTTAGGAAGGATAAACTTGGTAAAAATTATAATTGTTCCGAAAATCCTATATATATTTCATATGCTACCCATACAGCTTCCAGGAAGTTATTTTAAAGTGATTAAAAGAATATTGAGATACATTTGGGGAAACAAGAAACCGAGAATAATTTATGAAGTGATGTATAGAGATAAAGAAAATGGGGGCTTAAACGTACCGGACTTCAAGAGATATTATTGTTGTGTTTTGTTGTCACATATTTTTGATTGGACATATAATGCAATAGGGAAAAGTTGGTTTAATATAGAAAAGACAGAGACACAGAGAGGATTGTTTGTTTGCCACAGCAGTATCGTAAGTTGACTGAAGGTACGAGCACTTATACAAGAAATGTAATTAAGGTTTGGGAGGGAATTCACAAACAAATGGAATGAAAATTTAAATGTTAATACCGCTTGTGGGAACAGATTATTTCGCACCTGGGAAGGAAGATATTTCTGGTATATGGATAAGGAAAGGGAATGCACAGTTAAAAGATATAATGAAAAAAAGAGAAATGTGTCTCTTTTAGGAGCTAAAAAATAAAAGGAGGTGTTTTTCATGTTAGATGAATGGAGATATTTTCAATTAAGTCATTTTGTTGCAACACTCCCAAAGCCATTAAGGACATATGAGAATTTAAACCCTTTTGAACAACTGTTGAGTGCAAACAAGATACAGAAACATGGTACCTCCCGTATCTATAATATTCTTACTGCAATAGCAGGGTCTATCTCTCCATTATATATGGAAAAATGGGAAAGGAACTTGGAATATCATTTAACCACTTGCCTGCAGGGCACTTATACCCCCTTCCTGCCTAGGCCAATTTCCAGCTTTCAGCGCTGTCACACTTTGAATGACAATTGCGCGGTCATGCAACACTGTACCCATATGAAATTTTTATCATTTTTTTGAGACAGATAGAGCTTTCTTTTGGTGGTATTTAATCACCTCTGGGATTTTTCTTTTTTCTTAAACCAAAAACCACTGAAAAAAAAAAACATTTTTTCTTAGTTTTTGTTATACAAGTTTGTAAATAAGTGATTTTTCTCCACTGATGTGCCCTAATGAGGCTGCAGTGATGGGCACTGATAGGCTGCACTGATGGACACTGATAGGTGGCACTAATGAGGAGGCACTGGTAGGTTGCACTGATGGGCATTGACAGGCATCACTGATACACGACACTGATATATGGCACTGATAGGCAGCACTGACTGGCACTGATAGGCAGCACTGACTGGCACTGTTAGGCAGCACTGATGCGCACAGATATGCAACACTGACTGGCACTGATAGGTGGCACTGATTGGCATTCATAGGTGGCACTGACTGGCACTGATGGGTGACATTGAAAGGCAGCTCAGATGGGCACTGATATGTGGCATTGATGTGCACTGGTATGCACTGATATGTGGCATTGATGTGACACTGATGGGCACTGGCACGTGGCACTGATGAGCACTGACTGCTGGCCCTGATGGGCACTGACAGGTGGCACTTCTGGGGCCACACTGATCATCAGGGCACACTGATCATCAGTGCCCTGATGATCCGTGTACATGTCCCCTCCGCGGAAAGCCGATTACCGGCTTTCCTCTCGATCTGTCAGTGTGACAGCTCGAGAGGAGAGAAATGCCGATAACCGGCATTTCCATGTTTACATGTGATCAGCTGTGATTGGACACGGCTGATCGCATGACCGAGCCGACATCTTCGACTCTTTTCGTGATCCGCTGTGTCCGAATCGCCGCGCTGCGCGCTCCCTGAGCTTCGCATGCACAGTGAGAATGGAAGGACGTCATATGACGTCCTATCAGAACGAGAGAACCACCATGTGCCCGTCATTGTACTATAAGGCGGGCGGAAGGTGGTTAATGAGCAACAAAAAAAGAAAATATTTACATTAATGCATGGGACTATAGATATGAAGGTGGTGGAAATGAACTATAAATGCCTAACTAGGTGGTATAATACACCAAGTATGGCACACGTGGAATACGTAGAGAAATCACCTATGTGTTGGAAGGGATGTAGGATTAAGGGTACAATAGCATATATATGGTGGGAATGCCCCAAAATACAGGTACATTGGGAGTACATAATTCACTTAATACAAGAGATTTTGGGAATTAATATCTTGAAAGATCTGGGCATATGCTTATTCCATATGACTGAGATTACAGCAGAAAAATATAGGAAACTGATGATAAACGCAGCAAAGGGATTGATACTCAAATACTGGCAGGAACAGGAGGCACCGAAAATAAGACTGGATAAAAAGGGTAAATTATATTTATAGGATGGAAGAACTGTATCATATTGAAGAAGACAAAATGGAGAGCTTTAAAATAAAGATGGGAAAAGTGGGATGGGTTTAAAAGATCAAATACATATACTGAATTGGTAGGATTAGAGAATAATGAAAAGAGAGTTCATGTGTAAAAAAAAAAGATGGGAAATGGGAGGTAGGATGCTAGGGAAGAGGAGAAGGATGTCCTGAGAATAATAAAGGAAGAGAAGGAACTGGGAAAAACAGGAGAAAAGAAATCGGTAGGGGTGGTTGGGTGGGAAGGAGTGGGATTGGATAGGGGGATTTTTGGTGCAATGAGAAAAGGAAAAATGTTTCCTTGTTTGTATTGATGAATATTGTGATAATTGAATTTTGTAATACTGAGCTATTGAAACTAATAAAAAATAATAATAATAAAAAAAGCAGCTCTTATATGTCTATTTCAACTGTGTATTCAGCCATTGGCCTGAAATTTAGCTTTGCGTGCACTAATCCTTGCCAACCAAACGGAAACTGTTATTTACTGGACTGATGTCATTAGAGTGAATTCTGACTGGTTGTACTTAAAGGAGAAGTACAGCCAAAGCTCTTTTGGATCACTGACCATCACCGCTCTGCTCAGAGCGGCTTTGAGAACTCTGTGATCAGCAGTCATGTAATGTTGAGTTCTCACACTTAGAGCTGACGGGGTACAGATGCAGCATCGGACTGATGCTGCATCCAACTAGGTAAGTAATTTGGGGGAAACGATCAAGCCCATACTTCTCTTTTAAAATCTAGCTCCCTTTTTACTGAATGAGATCTATAATGTGAATTTTTTCATTATTCTAATGAAGTGTATAATAAAAGTGATACGTGTCTAGTTCGCTTTATTATGCATGTAAAAGGCAAGGTAAATAAACTAGTTGGTTGCACAGTCTTTATGTATTATATGTTTTTGTATTAAACATTTTGCTTTTGCAGCTAGAAGTGTTTATATTTATTTGAAAAAAACTACTTTCTAGGTTTCCTTTGCAGATTTTGTTTTTGGAGCATAATGTTGCTGTTATGTTAAGACACATTCTGCAATTTCTAAAAATGTAGGACTGCTGAGACAGTAGCAGGGGCGCACTGACCATTTTGAAACTCGGGCACTGCTTGAGGGCCTGGGGTCAGTAGGGGGCCCCATGAGATGCCCCTGGTACCTTTTTCATAGGCTTTTTTGAGGTAGGGCAAGGACACAGGGACCCCATGATCCCCTATTGCCCAGGGGCCCCATGAGTTGTCAGTCCGCCAGTGGACAGGAGTAATATTTTGAGTGTCAGATTAACTCAGGATGCATATATTTGCATAATAAAAAGCAAAACCTTTTTCTTTGCATTAAAATATGTAAGCAGCTAAATTTTCTAAAATGACATTACACATTTTAAAACATCTTAAATGCACCCTATTTTGCCAAGGTAGGGCAAGTCTTATATAGGTTTGTTTTCTATGTGTGCATTTGTAATATGCAAGTTTACTTCTTCTGTCAGGGCTGTTAGGCCCTGCACTCCACTTTTAAACTCAGTGGCCAGGGTGGTTTTGCAGTTTTTCCATGTTTTTTCAAAATTATTTTCCCCTTACAGCTTTCAGAGTTTTTGAAAGACCCCCCAAACCATGCACTTTCTGAGAGCATAGAACCAGTAGAAGAAAAGGAAGTTGCTAATGATTTTTTTTAGCACCTGTGATATTTGCACAAATGATTGTCAAAACAATATTTTCGCTAAAAACCCCCCACTAAATTATTATTAGTGGATACATACATGGCAAATTTTACAACATTCCTGCTAAATTTCTGCCTAATATAAAAGCTAATAAATAACAAATATATGTACATTTTGCACCTTTTTTTTTATATTAATTAATTTTAGTCATTTACAACTTCAGAGAGTTTTTTAAGTGCAGTAATAAGTGTCACACTCTGTATTGGTATGATTGGTCAAAGTTGCAAAACGTCAACATAATAAATTAATCTGAATTTCCAAAATAACTTCCGTAAATACAAATCGATTCAGAACAAGAAATGTATGAAACAAATCCAAATACATGAAACAAATTCTGAAAACAAATCATTCTAACCTAAAAAATATGATGAAATGAAATGAATAACTCAACAAATGAATCCAAATGAAACACATTTTTTTCATTGTGCACATCTTTAGTGCCTAGGAGGCAGCAAAATAGGCCAGCCCCCAATCCTTGAAACACCGTAAGCTGAGACCAAAGTGAATATTTGTTTTTTTTATTTTTTTTTTATTATCTTATTTATTAAATTTTTGGTTCGTCGCTTTTCATGTTTAAGAAATGGGGACTGACAGTGGATTTTCCATTTGTGTAAAAGGTTTGCTTTAAGGACATACTGTATCTATGTGGCACCTCTCTAAAGAAAGTTTTTTACTTTTCTTAGAGATTTGAAAATTAATGTAGATTGCAATTAGTATAAATGTATTCAAAGAGAATGACACATTTAACATGTTTGGGGATCATTATAAACCGCTTATTTTCTGCAATTTGCATTTTTCATACATGTACTGGAAATTAGTATTTTACTTCAGGCCCAAAGATTAGCAACATTGTTATTGAGTACTGGGTAGTATTAGATTGATCATCTGTCTTTTATATACTGTAGTTTCAGCAGAACAGCATGAATCCATGTTATTTTTTTCTGTCAAAATATTTTTCAATTGTAATGTCCATTTCATGACATTTTGTAGTACAGTCAGCTGTGTGCATTACACAAGAATGTTTGATGTGGGTGCCTATATGTGGGGGGAAAAAAAAAAATCTGCACTTTGATATTTTCCAAATGTAACAAATACAGAAGTGGTGTTTTTTCTGCAATTAATGTACTACATGGTGATTTGGTGATTTTAAAACATATTGTTTTTATTTGTAATGTTTACAATATAGGTATACTTAAAGTCAATCTTTAACATAACTAGTGGAAGAGATTGTACCTATTGCTGGATACAGCTTCATGTATGACACACCAGTGTAACGTGAGCTGTTCTACAGGTGAAACTCGAAAAATTAGAATATTGTACAAAAGTTCATTTATTTCAGTAATGCAACTTAAAAGGTGAAACTAATATATGAGATAAACTCATTACATGCAAAGCAAGATAGTTCAAGCCATGATTTGTCATAATTGTGATGATTATGGCTTACAGCTCATGAAAACCCCAAATCCACAATCTCAGAAAATTAGAATATTACATGCAATCAATAAAACAAGGATTGTACATAGAACAGTATCGGACCTCTGAAAAGTATAAGCATGCATATGTACTCAGTACTTGGTTTTGGCCCCTTTTGCAGCAATTACTGCCTCAATGCGGCGTGGCATGGAAGCTATCAGCCTGTGGCACTGCTGAGGTGTTATGGAAGACCAGGATGCTTCAATAGCGGCCTTCAGCTCTTCTGCATTGTTCGGTCTCATGTCTCTCATCTTTCTCTTGGCAATGCCCCATAGATTTTCTATGGGGTTCAGGTCAGGCAAGTTTTCTGGCCAATCAAGCACAGTAATCCCACAGTCATTGAACCAGGTTTTGGTGCTTTTGGCAGTGTGGGCAGGTGCCAAGTCCTGCTGGAAAATGAAGTCAGCATCCCCATAAAGCTTGCCTGCGGAAGGAAGCATGAAGTGCTCCAAAATCTCCAGGTAGACTGCTGTGTTGACCCTGGACTTAATGAAGCACAGTAGTGGACCAACACCAGCAGATGATATGGCTCTCCAAATCAACACAGACTATGGAAACTTCACTTTAAGCATCTTGCAGTGTGTGCCTCTCAATTCTTTCTCCATAATCTGGGTCCTTGGTTTCCAAATGGGATGCAAAAGTTGCTCTCATCAGAAAAGAGGACTTTGGACCACTGAGCAACAGATCAGGTCTGTTTTTCTTTAGCCCAGGTAAGACGCTTCTGACGTTGTTTGTTGTTCAGTAGCAGCTTGACAAGAGGAATACGACATTTGAAGCCCATGTCCAGGATCCGTCTGTGTGTGGTGGCTCTTGATGCACTGACTCCAGCCTCAGTCCACTCCTTGTGAAAGTCCCCAACACTTTTGAATGGCCTTTTCCTGACAGTCCTCTCCAGGCTGCGGTCATCCCTGCTGCTTGTGCACCTTTTTCTTCCACACTTTTCCCTTCCACATAACTTTCTATTAATGTGCTTTGATACAGCACTTTGGGAACATCCAGCTTCTTTTGCAATTTCATTTTGAGGCTTTCCCTCCTTATGGAGGGTGTCAATGATGGTTTTCTGCACAACTGTCAGGTCAGCAGTCTTTCCCATGATTGTGATTCCTACTGAACCAGACTGAAAGACCATTTAAAGGCTCAGGAAACCTTTGCAGGTTTATTGGCCTAATTAGCTGAT